AGAGTAAATATCATTTTTGGTCCCTAAAAAAAAAACATGTCCCACTTTAATTCTTTACAAAAAATTATTAGCCTCGAGGTCCCTAAGAAATTCAAAGTAGACCATTTAATTGAAATCATGGTCTCTCACAATTTTAAAAAGATCCATATTAGTGCCTCAAGAACTAATATGAGTCCACTTTGAATTTCATAGGGACCCGTCGACTAATTTTTTTTGTAAGGGACTAAAGTGGGAACCGTGATTTTTGTTAGGGACCCAAAATGATATTTACTCTTAGGGTGTGCCAATCATTCTATTCCCTAGCACTGTTTCTGAAAAGAAACAATTCTTTTATATTTCTATGCCTTGGAACAGCTTCTGAGAAAAAAAAAATGTGTTTGATAACATGTTCTATTTTTATTTCAAGAATGAGAATTGTGTTTGATAACACAACAAATAATAAAATAAAAAATAATTCCTATTAAATATAAAAAAATTGGATCATCACTTTTCTTTCCATATGGTGTGGTTGTGGTGGTGGTGGCGGCGACGGTACGGTAGTGGTAGTGGCAGTGACGTGGTGAAGATAGTGGTGGTGGTTGTGACGGCAGTGGCTGTAACGATGGCGGTGGCGGCGGCGATAGTGGTGGGGATGGTGGTGGTGGAGGTGACGACAATTGCTGCGACAATGGTGATGGGTATAGTGGTTGGTGGCGGCAACAATGGTGGCAGTGGCATGGTAGTGGTGGTTATGAAGGCATCATGGTGGTGGTGGTGGCAGTGGCGGTGGCGATGGTAGTGGCGGGGGTGGTGTAATGGTGGCGACGGTAATAGCTGTGACGATGGTGGTGGTGTTTGGTGGCGGCAACGGCGACGACGACGGTGGTGGCTGCAACAATGGTAGTGGTAGTTGGTGACAATGATGGTGATGGTAGTGGTGGCGTCGTGGTGGTGGTAGGGATTGCAATAAGGGTGGTGGCAATGGCTTGTGATGGCGATGGTGGCAGTGACGACAATGATTGCGATGATGGTGGTGGTGGTGGTTGATGGCGGTAGTGGTTGTGGTGGTTGATGGCAGTATTAGTGATAATGGTGGTGACGGTGATAGTGGTGGCGGTGGTAGTTGTGGTGGTGGTGACGGTGGCATGGTGGTAGTGATGGGTGGAAGAGGTGGTAATGGTGGGGATGACATCGTGGTGGTGAGGGGTGGTGACGACGGCACTAGTGGTACGATGGTGGCGACAGTCGTGTTCGGGATGATGGTGGTGGTGGTAATGATGGTAGAGGTGGAGAGTGATTGAGAGAGATAAGTGTTTCTCATTTTGTGCCAGGGAACAAAAAAGCAGAAATTTTTTTATTCTTTTTTCTATTCCCCAGCACAAAAATTAAACCGGTTCATCCCATGAATAAAAAAATAAACCGATTTTACCAAACGAGTATCCTATCCATTTCTGTTCCCGGGAACAGAAATTAAAACAGAATTGATTCCGGGAAGGTTGTCATGCACACCCTTAATTAGATGAGAAAAAGTTGTCTCCTTCGAACAAAACTCAAAAACCTTTATATTTTGGTATTATATTATGAGCTTTATTAATCTCCATCAAAAAGAGATATTTTCTCTCCTATCACTCCCACAATCATGCGGTGGGACCCACATAATTATAAAATAAAAAATAGAAGAAAACAAAGCTCAAAAATCAATGTCTCTATTGAAAAATAAATCCATCTCATGTGACCGAAGACTAGTTTTTCCCTTATATTATATGTTGCTTGAGTGGTAAAGTTTATTTTTGATTATAGGAACAAGCAAGGTGTATTTGGTATGGAATGATGAGAAAGTGAGTGGGGAATTACCATGTTTGGTATGAGTATTGTGAAAAAAATCCTAGCAAATATTTTTCACAAGACTTCCCTTTTCAACTAGCTTCAACCAAATAATTATCCTAATGATCCTATGGTATTTTTTTTTGCCTATAGTCTTAGATTTTGAATATAATATCTTTAGTCAAAAACACCCTTGTTAATATGAATGTTTGAATCTAAATCACTTTTCATATTCAAAAAATTAAAGGGTATTTTGGTATTTCTGATTCACATTCCCATCAATATTTTATCATCAATCAAACATAACATCTGTAAAATGAACCCAACTTTTTCAGCAAAATTTTAGCTAACCAAACGCTTTTTCGTAACTTATCCGGACTAAAAAAATTCATACCAAATCCCCAACCATCATTTTTTCTCGGTAAAAAAAAAAATCTCCCGTACTAAACGTCTCTGCAAAAAAATTTGGTTTGAAGATCTTTAATTTAAATATAAAAAAATAAAAAGATTAATGTCATAATGTATATATGTTTATTTCGGTTAGCTTAATTAATTAAAGAGATAACAACAAGATTTAACGCGCGGTGATAAATAAAATTATATATTTAGGAAAGGATTGAAGTTTGAATTTTAGAAAATATAGTTATCATAAAAGCTTTATTTAGATTGCTAACAATTTCTCCCCTTCAAAAAATTCTGTGAGTACTTTTTTTAAGAAGAAATAATTAAAGGTATGACAAAATTTTGTAGGTAGGTTTTCTATAATGCTTACTGATATCCTAAACATGTCATTAGCAGTCTCATGATCCCATCACTGTCTTGTCCTTAATATTATTTAAATTAAAAAACGAACTACAAATATTAAATCGTGGCAAATGCTTGTTAAGTAATGTAAGATTCCATGTTTATTAACTAATGTCCTGATAAGCAGTAATAAAGTAATACAGCTATGTTATTTTCTCATCAAGATTTTCACGTCTTTTTATATTAATTAAAGATTATTCAATTATTGGTTAGTTAATATATCTAAATTACTTAACGGATATTAAACTAAAAATAAAGTTGAAATTTTATATTAGCATTTCAATGAAAACTATGCGTAGGTTAATTTGCATTATTTATTCTTAAATAAGATTAAAAACAAAGAACCAATAAAGGGTGGGCACAGTTGTTAAGAATTTAACTCATGCTCCACAAAGGTGTGAGTTTAAATTAATAATTAATTAATAAATATGATCTAATAAAAAATAATCATTGGAGTGATGAAAATTATTGTTAAAAAAATAGGTTGTAAAACTTGTAAATTATAAAAATAACGCTCCTCTTCCGTAAATATATATACAAAGGCAACACGAAAATTGATCCTCTCATAACATGGTCACATGAGGATATTATAATAATATAAAGATAAATTAATAATTATAATTTTATAACAATCTATTTAATATATTTTTTCTCTTTTTTTATTATCATCGATCTGTCTTATATGGTTATAATTTCATATTTTTTTTTTTCCACGAGAATCTAGATCCATTTAAGATAAAATATTAAATTAAAAAGTGATTTTTTTAATAATAATTTTTTATAATAAATTTATAGAATTAATTTCAAAATTAGCAATTTTTTTTTAAATAATTATAAATTATTCAATAATGTATTATTTTATACAAAAATAAAGAATAATCAAATAATGTGAACTTCCTTTTTATTATTATGCAGGGTCACTTTTGATATTGATCTTTCTCCAACCTTCTTCCCATACAATTTCACATCCGTTTAATATGCCCCTGAGTTCAGCACTACCTCCACTGCCTATATATTTATTTCATTTTCAATCTCACGCTCCACCTACAGCATAAAGCATTGATCCACAATGAATTCCAACACTAACAATTGACGTCTTAAATCTACCGTTACACAAGTTTCAGTTGTGGCGGTTAAATCGGGGTTTGTTCATACGATTTGATTAATTTGAAATTGATTAAGTAACATGTTTCACTGGTTGAATTAATAAAGAATTTATTTCCCTCAATTAATCACTGAGGTCCTGATAATGAAAAATATAATTGGAATATCACCTTGATGAAATCAGAATAACGCGATTTGCCTAAAAAAAAAAAAAAACTTTTACAAAATAAACTAATTTAAGTATAAGCAACTAGGTTTGGTCTTTGTGTGTTTAATTCTCTCTTGTATAAAAAAAAACTAATTTAAATATACACATAAGAATATAGAGTTTGATTTCAACAAATCAGGTTTAAAGTCATGAACAAATCAGTGAGAAAATCTATCTTTCATGTTGTATGAAATAAATTATCTTATGTAACATACATAAAAGTGGATAAAATTCACTAAGAAAAAGAGAGAAAGAAAGAAATGAATCTCACCCATATTTTTGTGTGATTCATGAGATAATTTATCTAATAAAATATAAGAAACATATTCCTTTAAAAAATTATGAGAATCGACCCTCCTATCATTTAATATGACTAGTTAATTAATTTTAGACATATCAATGATAATAAGAAATGAGAGAAAAAAAATATTAAAATAGAAAGTGAAATAAAAACAAATATTAATTTGTTTATGAATGATAAAAATCTTCTCATATAATTTAGTCTGGTCATATTAAATGGCATATAAGATAATCTAGTTTCAAAAATTACGATGTGAATGTAAGAATCTCTAAATGGTATTATGTAATTTATTATCAGGCAAAATCTTTTAGCTAAAATGTCATTATCTCGATTTTGTTGTTTTAACAAGCTAGCAAAAATAAGGAAGAAAAGCTCTTCACATATCTCAAACTTTTTATTGAAATTGTAAATGTCATTTGGCAATTATCGGCATCAGGCTATTATTTTAAAGAATTTCAATTCATGGTTAAAAAAAAACAAGCTAGCTGTATTATTTCTTGCATCAAAAGTTAACTTATTTGTTAACCAACCAATTTTAATCGGCATTTTTTAATTCTTTATAAAACTAAAAATAAAAAAAAATTCTAAAACATTTTATTCAAAAGTGTAACACCGTTTCCCAGTAAAACCAAACACTTAAAAATAGTTCTCTCTCTGCGTGTTTCAGCGAGAGGAGAGTGATGGTGTCTTACTACTAAAACTCTCAAGACAACTCCACCAACCGCATTAACCACTCTCTCTCTCTCTCTCTCTCTCTCTCTCTCTCTTCTCCAATTCTCAATGGCTTGCCTGAAAACCCTAGTTTCTCTCTCTACACTTTTCATCTTCACCGTCATGGCTGACGACGCCGCTGTTATGTCGAAGCTTCTAAAATCCCTGACTCCTGCGCCATCCGGCTGGTCTCCGGCGACTCCATTCTGCCAATGGGAAGGCATCAAATGCGACTCCTCAAACCGCGTGATCACCATAAGCATTTCCTCGCTGTCCCTCGCCGGAACACTCCCCTCCGATCTCAACTCACTCTCCCAACTCACCTCTCTCTCCCTTCAAGACAACGCTCTCTCCGGTCCCATTCCCTCCCTCGCCAACCTCTCCGCCCTCGAAACAGCCTTCCTCGGCCGCAACAACTTCACCTCCGTCCCCGCCGGCGCATTCGCCGGCCTCACCTCCCTCCGGAGACTCAGCCTCGGCAACAACCCCAACCTCGTCCCCTGGACAATCCCCTCCGAGTTGACTCAGTCCCCCAACCTCAACAACCTCGAACTCGGAACCGCTAGCATCGCCGGCGACTTACCGGATTTCTTCGACAAGCTTCCGAGCCTCCAGAGCGTTCGTCTCTCCTACAACAACCTCACCGGCGGTTTGCCAAACTCTCTTGCCGCTTCTTCAATCGTGAATTTGTGGCTCAACAATCAGGACAATGGGTTAACCGGCACGATTGAGGTGCTCTCGAAGATGACGCAGTTGTCTCAGGTTTGGCTCCACAAGAACCAGCTCACCGGTCCGATACCCGATTTGTCCGAATGTAATAACTTGTTTGATCTTCAGCTCAGGGATAACCAGTTAACCGGTGTGGTTCCGAGTTCTTTAATGGGTCTTTTGAGTTTGAAGAATGTTTCCTTGGACAACAATGAGCTTCAGGGTCCTGTGCCGGCGTTCGGTAAAGGTGTGAAGGTTACTCTTGACGGAATCAATAGCTTTTGTCGAGATACTCCTGGACCTTGCGATGCAAGGGTGATGGTTCTGCTTCAAGTTGCTGAGGCTTTTGGGTTTCCTATTCGGTTGGCGAATTCGTGGAAAGGGAATGATCCTTGTCAAGGTTGGAGTTTCGTTGTTTGTACTGCGGGGAAGATTACTACGGTGAATTTTGCAAAGCAGGGTTTGCAGGGAACCATTTCGCCTGCATTTGCCAATTTGACTGATTTGAGGAACTTGTATCTAAATGGGAATAATTTGACCGGTTCTATACCTGAGAGCTTGATCACTTTGTCTCAGCTTGAGACTCTTGATATGTCTAATAACAATTTGTCTGGAGATGTTCCGAAATTCCCATCAAAGGTGAAGTTAGTAACTGCGGGGAATGTTTTGCTTGGGCAAAGTATTAGTTCTGGTGGTGGAGGGAGTGGAACGACTCCATCTGTGGGGTCTGCACCTGGTGGAAGTCCAGCTGAGTCGGGAAATGGTTCTTCATTGACGCCTGGTTGGATTGCTGGTATAGTGATTATTGCTATGTTTTTTGTTGCGGTGGTGTTGTTTGTGTCGTGCAAGTGTTATTACAAAAATCGGCACCGGAAATTTGGAAGGGTAAATAATCCTGAAAATGGTAAAGGAAATGTTAAGCTTGATGTAATGAGTGTTTCTAAGGGATATGGTGGTGTAACCAGCGAGTTGCAAAGCCAGAGCAGTGGTGATAATAGTAACCTCCATGTTTTTGAGGGTGGGACTGGGAATGCTACGATTTCGTTACAAGTTCTGAGACAAGTAACGAATAATTTCAGTGAGGATAACATTTTAGGTAGGGGAGGGTTTGGAGTTGTTTATAGAGGGGAGTTGCATGATGGAACTAAAATTGCTGTCAAGAGGATGGAATCTGTTGCAATGGGAAACAAAAGAATGAATGAGTTCCAGGCAGAGATTGCTGTTCTTAGTAAAGTTAGGCATAGACATTTGGTTGCTCTTTTAGGATATTGCATCAATGGCAATGAGAGGCTTTTGGTGTATGAGTATATGCCTCAAGGGACATTAACTCAGCATCTGTTTGAATGGCGTGAACATGGGTGTTCTCCTTTGACATGGAAACAAAGGGTAGCAATCGCTTTGGATGTAGCTAGGGGGGTGGAATACTTGCACAGCTTAGCTCAGCAAAGCTTCATTCATAGAGACTTAAAACCCTCAAACATACTATTAGGTGATGACATGAGAGCAAAGGTTGCAGATTTTGGGTTGGTTAAAAATGCACCAGATGGCAAGTATTCTGTTGAGACAAGGTTGGCTGGAACATTCGGGTATCTTGCACCTGAGTATGCAGGTACGGAAAGCCTTTGATTTTATGCTTGTTCTTTAATTTTTAAAGTTTTTATTTATTCCCTTATTTGGTGGCTATAGCCTATAGCTATAGGTTAGTACTTCAATATCATGCTTTGGTCTTGAGAAGATTTGAGTAGTTTGAGAGAGTAACAACGAAAAAAAAATGTTGGAAGAACAAATAATTTATATTTAATTTAATTCCTAGATATGTTTCTCCTCTTTGTAGCTAGTTCTTTGCAACTTTTTTCCTGTTTCATGAGTTATTTTCAGCTGCATTGTGTGTTTTCTCATAATTCTCGGCTGTGGATGGTTGCAGGGCACAAAATTTGTAGTGCCATTTATCCATTATGATATGAGGAATACTCTGGTTGCATTAAATGTTGGATTACTGTATATTGTCATGGGTTTAGGTGCTAGTTTTCTGTTGCTACTATTTACTGTTGCGGAATGTAACCTCCCCTTCCTTGGTGGCTTGGTGTCTAGACATGTCTTTAGTTAAAAGTCGACAATTTTGAATGGTATTGTTGTATTGATTCGACCAGCATTAAAATTGGTGCATTCTAAAACGCGCTATAATGTTGTTTGTCTTGGCTTATTGTCTAATTTTAACAGAGTCAGGTTAGAGTATGTGCATAATTATTGTTGCATTGAATGTGATTGGTTGCGTTTGGTTTATGCTAGTCTATTTGTTTAATTGTAATAAGTGTAATCTTGTTTCTTGCCAGCTACTGGAAGAGTGACAACCAAAGTGGATGTTTACGCATTTGGAGTAGTTTTGATGGAACTGATCACCGGTAGAAGGGCGTTGGATGATACTGTGCCTGATGAAAGATCTCACTTGGTTACATGGTTCCGTAGGGTACTAATTAACAAGGAAAATATTCCAAAGGCAATTGATCAAACTCTCAACCCTGATGAGGAAACCATGGAGAGCATATACAAAGTGGCTGAGCTGGCAGGCCATTGCACCGCACGTGAACCATACCCAAGGCCAGATATGGGACATGCAGTGAATGTCTTGTCTCCTCTTGTGGAGCAATGGAAACCTACTAACCATGAAGAAGAAGACACCTATGGCATTAACCTTCAGATGAGCCTTCCTCAAGCCCTACAAAGGTGGCAAGCCAATGAAGGCACTTCCACAATGTTTAATGACATGTCCTTCTCACAAACCCAATCGAGCATTGCCTCTAAACCTTCAGGATTTGCAGACTCCTTTGATTCAATGGATTGCCGGTAGCCAAAATGATAAATGAGACAAGACACCATCTAAGGGATTCTTTGTCCATACGAGATTGAAGACTTGGTTGAGGGAAAGTCAAGCGGTTTAATCAAGCAGCATCACCAAATTGTTTGCCAATTTTTTTTTTTTTTGGGTTTCTTTATGTCTCCTTTACTGAGCTAAACCTGAATATGTAAGTTTGTTTGATGATCTTTATTGATTCTTTTTAAGCTGACGGATGGGTTTTAAAGGATGGTTGGAGGTACTAGATCGGAAGGATAATTAGTTTTTGAGGAAAAGGAAGGACCTATAGAAATGTGAAATGTATTATATTCTTCTTTTTGAATCAGATGTATATGTATCGCTTGTAATTATTTTTAGTGAGCAGGCATTATTAATCTTGTCTTTTCTCTTTTGATCAAGTATTAGTAAGCTCTAATGTGTATAAACTATTCCCAGTCAAATAGCTTGCAAATCGGCAGTAATTAACCAAATGCAGCATGTTTATCAGTCTAATGGGAACTCCTGGTCGAAATCTACGATGAGAAGTATTTTGGAACCTTAAATATAAAATATTTATAAGATAATTTCAACTTTTCAAGTTAGGTAAGTGGTTAGGTAAAGTTTTATTTTGTAAAATGGTGATTATAGAATTTGCACTTCTGAAATTGCAAATAAGGTTTACTTAGGATTGTAAAAAAATAAAAAATAAAATAAAAAAAATCTACCCTTAACTTCCACCTTTAGTAACGGTGGAAGCACGGGCATTGATAAAAGGAGATATATGGAAATGGGAACAATATATACAAAACCTTATAAAAAGGGAATCTTTTTAAATGCATAATTACGACTATATACTAAATAATTTAATTTAATTTTTGGTTCATAATTATCTTTATCAACTTTTCGTTCTCTTATGGAAGAGTGAATAGAATCTTAAAATTTGGGTTGGTGATGGGCTGACATTCTCACATGATGAGCCTTTTCTATACTTGAACGCACGTATGGTGTATATCAAAGCTGGATCTTTATAAAAATACTCAGCAGATAGATAACTATCGTAACAAAGAACATGCTGTGGGTGCCAATTTCTATATTCTTTGTTGTGGTTAGGTGTCCCGTATCAATGTTAACTGGCACACCACATTCTAGATGTTGTCAAAAGTATAAGGCAGATTGAGCAGTTGAAAATAATTGGCAATCGATGATTGAGATTTTGGTTATATAAAAGAGAAAATTCCAATTGTTAACACCATATTTGCATTTTCTTTGGGAAGACGATGTCAAGCAAACTAGAAGCAAATTGGATCCTCCAAATTCTAATTGTTGTTTAGTGGTCTAAGAAATTTGTTAACCGATCGAGCATTGAACTCATAGATGCTTTGTGATCAAATTCGGAAAAAGATAAAGGGGACATGTAACTTTTTTATATGCATCCAAGATTTCACAAACGTAGTTTGATGGGAGTTTTAGGAATATATTGTGCCCACCACCAACTTCAATAGAAATATTATTGTAATATTATAATAATTGAGAATGACAAAATCCCAATCCCGTATACATCTTCTAACACTAGTTATATTTCATATGTACACTACTACAATATCTTGTTATTCCTTACAAATAATTAGTCATCATCACAAATTAACACAAATCATAAAATGATATTATTCTAGGCAATCAATTTATTGATATTAACAATAATGAAGTCGTTTAATTTACTGTTATTTTCATTAATATCAGAGTCAATCAATTTTCCATTAAATCAATTAATAAAATTTAATGCCCATTTACTTGGCAATACATAAAAATTGAAACGTTTCCTCGACCCGCGGTTGGAATATTACCAAAAAATAAATAAAAATTGAAACGTTTCAAGTGTACTCAAGAGAGCATCTGTGAAATACATTGAGCTTCGAGATACCCTCATAATTCCTTTATGTTGTGTTAGTTTAATTTCGATATCAGCTTTTACCTTTTTACATTTTGGGTTGTGTCATAACATGGTTGTAACTTAGAACGTAGCCAAATTTTCTTGCTTTTTGCTACGATCTTGCAATGCTTAATGATGTTTGCACGTATTTTTCACTGGCAGTCCAGCACAACAACATTTAAAAAAAAAAAAAAAAACCAACCAGCGTGGATGCTGTCTTTCTTTGTATTGCTGCAAAAATTTTCATCCGCGGTAATATAAAAAGTATTAAAGCTATATATATATATATAGGTTCATTTTTTCTACAGTCAATGTAGATAACATAACATATTTACATTGAGCCCAAAACGACGTTGTTTTGAGGTGTAAATCAAGACATTTTTGTAATTATAATTTAATTCAGGCTTATAATAGTCTTTTTGACGTCGTTTTGGGAGCGAATCACTTTAGAAACATTTGAAGCCATATATATATATATATATGTATATATATATATATATCGAAAATCTAAATGGGACAATATAAACCTCTGAAGCATTGATACATGTTACTCACCCACATACTCTATTATTATTCAGCAATTATAATATTGCCCGTAAACCAAACTAGATATATCAAATTAATGACGTCAAGGTTTATAAGAGCATGCAACCCTTGGCTATTTAAGAACAAGCAATTTCTGAGGAAATTGGATTTAATGGAAATGGTTGGTCCCAAGCATATTTGAAGGTGATAGCATCTCTGTAGATAGAGTTACCACCATTAACAAGACAAACATTGCCTGAGACACTCAAAACTGAAGGGTCTATTTGTTCAATGGTTTGAAACCCTTTGCAATTTAACATGACATCCTTTTGAACACAGGGGCAATCGTTGGTGATAGTCACACTCCACTCTGGCTTTCCCTTCAATGTAGCTCCTGTTTGAGATTGTCTTATGGAGAGATCACTCAAGTAGCATTGGCTATTGCCTGAGATCATAGGGGTAAAAAAAATAATATGAGAAGTTATGAACAACAATTTATAAATTTTTTATTTTTCATCAATTGGAAGAAAACATTACCTTGAGAAATGAAGACAAGGAAGAGAACTATGCTGAGAATTTTAATGGTTGAATCAGCCATTTTCTAATAACACAAATTGCTAGGTTCTATTCTTGAATTTGTTTATGCAAAGTACAATGCTGCTATGTTGCGTTATTTATAGCGGGAAAGAGATAATTTTAAGAGACGTCAATTACTCGCCAAAAATATAAGAAATTAATTGTAAGGGATTTGATCGATGAGATTTTTTTTTTTAATGAATAAATTTCTTCCTGTAAAAATGCATATTCCATGTTGGAGAAACCGAAAAATATTTTTTTAAAAAAATGAATCACGATCTAAACTTCATTGCTTTTTGATTTGGTGTGCATAATCTTCAAGTTTACGTTAAATAATATTGAAACAGAATTACTGTGCTTCTTAAAATGCTGATTCAACCAAGCAGAGAATCACGGAGGAAGATGGAAATTAATGTAAACGGTAACTGAATGATGTGCATTTAAATAAATTAAAATCAGTTATTACAATTATCATCGGTTCAAGATCATCCTAATTTGAAATTTCATGATGGCAGAGAATTATTAAAGCTAACTTTATTAAGGAGAATAAATTGTAATACAGAGAAAGAATTCGTTTGAATATTGTCTTTACTTGTTAAGTTTTTCTTACGAGATTTTTTTTGAATTTATTTATTGACTTTTTTTTATTGGATTTTTAGGATTGGGAATTTGCTCATTCAGTTAAAAAAAAATAAGATAGGAAATGGATCGTCAAGAAAAAAATATGACGTGGTCATGTGAGAAAATCACAAAATCACGATCATATAAAAGTAAATCAACGGTTATGACTTTGTAACTATCTATTATAATATTTTTTTTTTCTTTCTTTGTTATCATTGATCCACCTTTGTATAGTTATGATTTTTCACAAGATCATGTCATATTTTTTTTTTTCCACATGAGAGATCTAGATCCAAAAAAATTACGTAATATGTTGTTTCTTTTAAATTTTTGTGTTGGTTGTAATAGTAAAACAATACTTTGTTTGTTTGTTGGTTTTTTTATTTATTTATAATAATAGCATTGAGTTTCAAATCTATAATTTCATATAAATTATTTAAGGGGAATGATTATCTCATGTTGCATGAGATAATTATCTCATACAACAAAAAAGTAGTGAGATCCATTATTTTTTATACTTTTTCTTTTTTTGAAAAATAGTGAATCTTACTATCTTGTATCTGTTTATCTCATGCAATATGAGATAAATAGATTATATTATTTAAATATCATACTGTTAGTCCTTTTTTAATGGCTTAACTTTTGAGTGATATGAGGAGTTAGGGTTATATTTTAAAAAAAAAAATTAGCACGTAGAATAAATGTAATTAAGTAAATGACTTTATTCCAATTCTAATAACTGATATGAGGAGTTAGAGTTATATTTATAAATTTTTTATTTACAAACTCAATTATATATTTAAGATAATACACACGTGTTTGTATTTTTTAAAATATATAATTGAGTTTGTGAACAAAATATTTATAAATATAACCATTTCCAACTAATATACCGAATCTCAAGAAAATTTTCCCAACTCCCTAGCATTGCTCACAAGATACTAAGAATAATTTTTGTTAAATATTTATTAATGTATACATTATTAAGAATTATACCTTAAATTAATAATTGAAAAAATGTAGTTCTTCACATTAAAAAAATAAAAAATTATAAATACATTTATACTATATTAGAATTCAGAACTATTCTCTGAAAAGTTTTGTCACGTGTCATTCATAAAATGATTTGGATTCTTTTAAAAAGTATAAACTTTTCTTCTTAAGCAAGTTTTTTAAAAAATTTAAATTATATGGTCACACACAAATTAATAAAATTAATTTGAATTCTAATTTTAAATTTTAAATTTAAATTTAAATATAATCATGAAATTAGATTCGATGACAAACGAGAAAATTAAAAAAACTAATTAATTAGATTGATTGGCTCAAATTAAAAATAATTAATTAAATTAATTGATTAAAATTAGAGAAATCAATCAATTGAATTTATTGGATAAAAAAGAGAAAAAATTATCCAATACCATTAGGAAGTGATGCGACACTAAAGGTTGACTACACACCATATTTAATATCTTATCCCCTGTTTTGTTTTCTTTGTTGCTCTTCCTTAGTTAGAAAATGATCAGACATTATGGTTTTATTTTATATATATTTTTAAACTTAAGAGATATCCTCATCCAACATATAATAAATTGAGGTGTGTTAAATCAGAGGTAGAATGATATTAATTTCCCACCAAGACATAAATTAGGGTTATCATACCTTAAATTTTATTTCCAAATAACATTTAATAGTACTTTTTTTTATAATAAAAATATATCATCGATTACTCGACTAGTAGAACGATAAAAAAACTTTTCCAACCAAGATGATAACTGATTGAGCATAAATAATCCCCTCTCAGTTTGTCCAGGTGATGATTTTAATAGTATTTTTTTTATACTGTGAAGTCATTCTTATTCGGAACTTGAAAACATTTTTACTCATGTATAAAAAAAAAAAAAAAAAAAAGTATCGCGAACAAATTTTATGACATTTATTTGTAGAAATAGAGTACAGGAAACTTGTACGTAGCAATTTTTTAAAAATGCAAGCATTTCTGTTTTCTTAGTGGGGGGAGGGGGGACTTTTTTGAGATTTCCTTAAAAATAATAGTGGTAATTTTATTTAGGGTAAAGAATTTCTCCCGTCAATGGAAATAAGTTATCTCCAGTGTGTCCAAAACGACGTCATTTTGGGGCAAAAATCAATGCGTTTTTGTAATTATAATATATTGCAGGGTTATTTTAGTCTTTATCATTATAATTTTTTAACCTTACAACCAAAAACAACGTCGTTTTGAGCTCACTGGAGATAACTTTATCTCCAGTGACCTAGAGAAATATTTTCCCCTTTTTATTTAGGCTTTAATGTTTCTAAAGTGAATGTATATAATTCGCTCCCAAAACGACGTCGTTTTGGGTTGAAAAATTAAAAAATTATGATGAAAAAGACTATTATAACCCTGAAATAAATTATAATTATAAAAATACCTTGATTTCCGCCTCAAAACGATGTCATTTTGGGCTCAATGTAGATAAGTCATCTACATTGACTGTAGAAAAAGCAAACCCATTTATTTATCCATGTTTGATACGACGGTTTTGAAAATATTATGGGAAATCTAATCTTCTCTGTTTTGTATACAATTTTTCTTTCAAAATGTCATATCCGAGGGGTGATATTTTTGGAATCCTAGGTGTTGTGAAAATTTTACATTTTTTGAGGACAAAATTTCGGTAATATTTTGGTCTATAACTTTTTGATAACATTCTCGGAAAAATGACTTTTCCACCGTATTTCTGAGAATCATGATTTTGGGCACGAAAAAATTTATTCTCTACTAAATATAGCTAGATGTTTTATATAGCTCAATGTTTTTGTTTTTTGATACATATATAGCTCAATGTTAAATCTGATCTCTTACACAAACTGTGCTTAGCACGGGTCTACTACATAATTAAATTAATAACAGCTCATATAATTAGTATGACGCATTTGAATATGTCAATATATAAGAATTATCTTACACATTTTTTTGGCTGGTAGAATTATCATTCACTTAACAGCTATAGTTGTACCATTCAAACATTTAGCAATGAATATGACACTTAAATTCTAGTTAAACTCATATCTTTCTTGGTTAATCAGTTTACCAATAAATTGGAATAGAGAATGTTATGTCCAGCTGTAAACCACCAATTCCATTATTGGAAAGAAGGATTCCACAAGAACCAAAAGCAGCCAAAATGACATCGATGAAAAAGGTGAAGAGAAAGTGGGCCTCATAAAGGTATTATTCTTATCAAAGATGGTAAAGAGTCTGGACCTCTTAATCAGAGGTCTTTAGTTCGAGTATTGAAAATGAAAAAAAAAGGATTTGAGAGAGTTATCCCCTTTAATAAGATTCGACAAGTGCTTGAACTGGACGTAGTCTGAAGAATGAACCGGTTGGGAAATAAATAAATAAAAAGTTGTTATTCTTCATGAAGAGCTATCTACACTGAATGATATCATGAACAAGACAGAACAACAAGGGATTGATACTCAGTGATTGTAAAGGTAATTTACCAAAGTAGTTGTGGGCCTATGGCTTGGCATGAACTTGAAAGTTGAACCTGTCAAAGCCAAACAAGTATACTTACAATTGAATACTTTGTATAACCAGTTGAGAAGGTAGCCTCATAAAGCATAAGAAAATTTGCTGCAAAAACTATGAATGTTTTGAGAAACTTGAAAGTATTCTTATATATTTGCTGAGGCAACAAGCTGTTTATAAGCAATTGAAGTTTCTAGTTCTGATTTAATATACATGTCTCTTTGTCATTTGATGGAACCCAGAAAAATATAATACTGAACTTGTAATGTCCCACATCGGTTGGAGAGGGGAACGAAGCCTGCCTTAAATAAAGGTGTGGATACCTTTCCTTGTAGGAGGCCTTTTGGGGGTAACTCGAAACGTAAAACCGTGAGCTCGACGGTGCTTGTGCGCGGGGCAAAGCGGACAATATCCTGCTACAGGGTTTGGGGCTGTTACAGAACTCATTAACAATTGAGGCATAGCCTTTTTTTACATACAATATAAAATGCAGCAAAGAAACCAGAAAGCCTCAACTCTCCCTCAAACCAAATACCTAGGCTCAAGAGGTCTCTCATTTTTCCACTAACCAATTCTGAATACATGAATAATAGAAAAATTACCCTAAACTTCTATATATACTAATTCTAAAATACTAATGGGCTTGAATTATTTATTATAGGCCCATCATCATTTGAGCACAATCATTATTAAATAAATGCTTCTATGTGCATATTGTGTACATGGGATATAAAGATAAATCACAATCCAGAAACTACTAGAAGTATCACTACAAAATGTTATTTTCAGTGCTAGGAAAGTATGGCTTTGTTTGTAATCATTAAATATTCATTTTCCAATAGAGATGGTGTTGTAATAGTGCAATAAATTTGAGCCAGGAAAGTGACTTCAAATGTAACATAGCAACTCTGGTGTAACACTTATCAGAACTTGTTAGTTAGTTAATCATTAAATTGGATTGGAGAATGTTGTATCCAGCTGTAAATCACCTATTGCATTATTGGAAGGAAAGATTCAACAAGAACCAAACGAAGCGAAAATGACATGGGTGAAAAAGGTAAAGAGAAAGTGGGCCTCAGAAAAAGGCTTTATTCTTCATAAAGATAAGAGCTTTCTACATTGGAGTTATATTGTGAGAAGAGAAAAATGGTGTTGATTGATGTTACCTAAGTTATGTGAACAAGATTGACAAACGTAACTTACCATAGTAGCTGAGGCTTGGCTTGAAGTTGAATCCGTCAAAGGCAAAAAAACACATTACATTTCCACATAGAATATAGAAAACAAGAAACTCTTGTTTGAAAAAAAAAGAAAGAAAGATGAAAGATAAGGCACAATCCAGTCCCACTAATGACTTTTGAAAAACAATAAAAGCAAAAAGTGAGACTCAAAACTAGAGAAAAAGAAAAGGGTGCAATAAACGTGGGATGATGGGTTTGGGACTATATTAGTACACTTATGTTATGACCAGAATCATTACAATATACACTAGAAAAGCATTGATAGCTACAGTTGAAATTGACAAATAAAAGCACTAGAGATGTATAAGCAATCAGTTCAAACTGTGATTAAATATCTCTAAATTTGATGTCTCACTCGTTTATGTATGATTTTGATTGCTTAATTTAATCCTTCAAATAAAAGTAGTATACTAAATACCAACATAAATTCCTCTGATCATGAAGATATTTATGCATACTTTTCATCCAATTGAGCATAAAAATCAAAAGTGCACTGGACGAAAGAAAAGGACTCCCAACTTTACTTATCTTCAAAAAGTTATATCATACACATCATAGATAATGAGAAGGAAACCTTATAAGACATAGGAGAATTTGCAGCAACTTTGTATGTTTTAAGAATTTGGAATGCCATTGAAGCCCTCCTCTGATTACAGAGACAATGGATATTAATTCAAGAAACTGGAGATGGACAAGAAAGGCCCAATTGCTAGTAACTTCTGCTTTTCTTTTACTGCAAAACTTTCTAGTCACCTCTGAGATATTTGCAGAGGCAACAAGCTCTGTGAGTGCAACTTAAGTTTCTAGTTCTGCTCATTGATATACATGTATGTATGTATGTGGATAATATTTGTCATTTGAGCATTATAAATTATTAAATAAATGCTTCTAGGTGCATATTGTATACATGGGAGATAAGATATATCACAATCCAGAAACTACTAAAAGGTATCACCACAAAATGTTATCATCACTCTTAGGGAGGTAAGGCTTGTAATCTTCATATATTCATTTACCAATAGAGCTTGTGTTGTATTACTGCAATAAGAGCCAAGAAAATAATAATAACTGTAAATGTCTTCTTTTTGTTCTAAAGCAAAGAAGCTGCAAAGAATTCAATTCTTTACAGCTATAAGCACGGATTTTCAGGGTTTGCTGCAAGATTGACAAAATCTCAAGCAGAAGAAATAGAAAGTATGATCCTTGCTTTAATTAAGCTTGTCATTGAGCTCATTTCAACACCTTTTAAAAGCTATATACCATGTGATACAGTGTTTCCTGGAGTAGTTTCTATCTTTCCAAACCGAATTCACAAACTCCACACAACCAGAAGCTGGGACTTTATTGGGGTCCATCATTCCTCCTCAAAAACAGCTTTCACTGAAAGCAACTTAGGTGAAGGAACCATCATTGGAGTCATAGACACAGGTAGTAATTATCCTCTAACAAAATAACTAAGCAGGAACTGGAAAATGGCAATGTAACCAACGATAAATATGATTTCTTGAAGGCATTTGGCCAGAATCTGCAAGTTTCAATGATGAAGCAATGGGACAAATCCCATCAAGGTGGAAAGGAGTTTGTCAAGTGGGAGAACACTTCAACTCCACCAATTGCAACAAGAAGATAATAGGTGCTAGATGGTTCTTGAAAGGAATAACTGATCAGACTAAGAAGCTCATCAATGGAAATGACACAAAGGAGTTTCTCTCAGCCCGAGATGCTATTGGCCATGGCACTCATACAGCTTCCACAGCAGCTGGTTATTTTGTAGGAAAAGCAAATTTTAGAGGACTTGCTTCTGGTTTAGCTAGAGGAGGAGCACCCCTTGCTCACTTAGCTATCTACAAGGCTTGTTGGGACATTTCTATTGGAGATTGTAGTGATGCTGATATCCTTAAAGCTTTTGACAAGGCTATACATGATGGAGTAGATGTTTTAACTGTTTCTCTTGGCATTGGCATTCCTTTGTTCTCATATGTTGATCAACGTGACACAATAGCAATTGGTTCCTTTCATGCAACTTCCAAGGGAATCACTGTTATATGTTCAGCTGGAAATTCTGGCCCCATGTCTCAAACCATTACAAATACTGCACCTTGGCTCATTACAGTTGCAGCTACCACAATAGATAGGACCTTTCCAGCAGCCATCACCCTTGGAAATAACCACACTGTGTGGGTATGCTGCTACTATTTTCCAACCAAATTGATGAAATATGCTATCAGCTAACAATTAATGTAAATGTTGATATAATGTAGGGACAGTCTATTGATACTGTGAAACACAATCTTGGATATGTTGGTCTCACATACTCAGAACGCATTGCTCTAGACCAATCAGATGATTTAGCGTGAGACCTCTCTCTTCCTTCTTCATTTTTACTTATTTTTTTCCTTCCATTTGTATACATTTTGAATCAACTATTCATTTCTTCCTTTCAAGCAAGGATTGTCAGTCTGGAAGTCTGAATGCAACAATGGCAGCAGGCAAAATTGTTCTATGCTTTTCCCTATCAGATCAACAGGATATTGTTTCTGCATCACTTACAGTAAAGAAAGCCGGAGGAGTTGGACTAATATATGCACAATTTCATGAAGATGGACTCGGTCAATGTGATTTGTTTCCATGTATTAAGGTGGATTATGAAGTGGGAACACAAATATTATCCTACATTAGAAGAGCAAGGTGAGAAAATATGAATATATAGATTGAGAACATTGGCTTCTGAAAGTTCATTTGAATTAAAATTAACATTAAGCTTATCTGGAAGGTTTCCAACTGCAAGCCTAAGTTTTCCAAAGACTGTTATTGGAAAATGGATATCTCCACGAGTTGCATCTTTCTCATCTAGAGGACCCAGTAGCATGTCTCCAACTGTGCTGAAGGTATTATTCAACCAGACCAAATATTTTCTTAAATTTTGAGACAAAAGTAATTGAATATAGATTTATAACAACAAAAGATTTAACTCCAAATCTTTTAAACTGATAAAGAATTTCTGACTAGGAAATACTTTAAAAAAAAAAGTGTAGTCTATCTATGAGTAATAACTTTCAACATAAGTATAAAATATTCATCTATCTTCATGGCTTTGCCTAGTAGCTTAAGTTAATTATATGTTTAAAAAATATATTATATATGATGTTATCATTAACTTATTCTACTCTGGGGATGATTTATGTGTGTAGCCTGATATAGCAGCACCAGGTGTGGACATTTTGGCTGCATTTCCACCAGAGGGAACTGCAAAGAGCAGTGGGTTTGCATTCTTATCTGGAACATCAATGTCTTGTCCCCATGTGGCAGGAATAGCAGCTCTCATCAAATCCAAACACCCAACTTGGTCACCTGCAGCCATAAGATCAGCTTTGGTAACAACAGGTGAATCAGTGGAAATCAACACATTAAATTACATCTTACTCAATATAAACCAAAGTAACTAGTTGGACCATTGAAAAATGCAGCCTCTCAAACAGGAACTGATGGGAGCATTGTATCTGAAGAGGGTTCCACACCTAAGGCAGCAGACCCATTTGATATTGGTGGAGGGCACGTGAACCCCAACAAAGCAATGGATCCAGGACTCATATATAATATCACCACTGAGGATTATATCCAATTCCTATGTTCCATGGGTTACAATAGTGCATCTATTAGCAAAGTGACCAAGATCACCACAAGTTGTAAGAAAGAAAAACAACAAGAACTGAACCTTAACCTACCTTCTATATCAGTTCCAAACCTGAAGAGGGTTGCAAAAGTCATGAGAACAGTGACAAATGTGGGAAACATAACTGCAGTATACAAAGTTCTAGTAAAGACTCCACATGGCATAAAAGTGAGAGTTAAACCTCAAATTTTGAGTTTCAGTTCAGACACCCGAGTCCTTACCTTCAATGTTAGTTTCTTGTCAACTCAAACTTTGCATGGAGATTACAAATTTGGGAGCCTAACATGGACAGATGGCAAGCATTTTGTAAGGACCCCAATAGCTGTGAGGACCATACAATTTGAATCTTAAGCAGATGTTATGGAAATGAGTTTGGTCAACTAACTACACAAGTTCTTGCTTGGACTCTTACTTAACACAGCATGTTCTTCAGTGAGCACAAAGCATATATTCTTTAGAGAACAACTCATGTAAAAACTCATGTTAATAACATTTCGGGAATTAACTGATACACGTTATAACTACGATATGTTCTATGCTCTTCTTTTTAAAGGTAAATTGCATGATATGTATTTGTATAAACGTTATAATGATTTAAAAATGATTACTTTTGCTGTACTAGGTTTAAGTAATGTGTTTATATGTGAATTTTTACGGATAAAGATAGAGTCAAAGGGATTACCAAAAAAAAACGATAAGAGTCAAAGACAGTAAGAAAGCCCAAAGGTGTTACTTGGACAGCTGCCATGGATGAAGCTTGGATTAATGCATAATTGCATGAGTAGGATTTAGGAAATAGACTGGGTGGCACCTTCGCGACTCATGCATTGGATGCCATTTTTTAAGAGATGATAGAACAATTTCCCGATAAACTAGTCAACATTGCGCTGAAACTGGAATGGTTTCTCGAACACATTAAGGCGCAACATCATCAAAAGGTAAGAAAAGAAAATCTAGAACAGTGAAGTGTGACTTTAGCTTGTGGATTTGAGAAGTGTACAGTGTACCACACAATTGGTCAAGTTTCACTAAAACCATCCTTGATCGAAAGATACAATATGGAAACAACTAGAGTGCTTGAATGTCCATTTGAAAAGCTAACGAAATGTTAATGCATGTCGTGCAAAGCTACGCTCCGAGCAATAAGGTTTAAACTTTTTTATCGATTGCGTTGAATGTTCTTTTTCCTATGAATTTGTAGGTTACTATGAATTTTCTTACAAGAAACTACATATTGACATAGAATCGTCATATGAGAAAATCATATTTTTAATTGGTTTAAAATTCAATTGAAGGTTTTTGTTTTACTTTGTGAGTTGAAGGTTTAGTTTTGTAAAGTTATATATGGCAGTAACAGCAAAAGAATAATTCAAAGGGCTATCTGAGAAGTTAAAAAATATAACGTTTCCGTTCCGTACCTTTACAACACAACTCTCAAATAATGTCTCACTAATATTCCAAAGGGTAAGGGAAACAAGCTAGCACTGCTACAACCTTACAACAAGAAGCAAATAACCTAAACAAGCAAATCAAGAGAGGAAAATAGATGATACAAAATTTATGCTTGCAAAATGACACCTATGATGGAGCACCTAGATATGAAGCAAGTCGTAAAATATCACTAAATATTCCACCAGCTGTGACTTGAGCACCAGCTCCTGGCCCACGAACTATCAGAGGCTGATTCTTATACCTTCTTGTTGTGAATGCAATAATATTATCTGACCCAGACAATTGTGCAAATGGATGATCCTTCTTGTATCTTCGCAGCTCTACCACTCCTTTTTCATTAGTCACGTCCACCACTCCCACGTATCTCAAGACCTTCAAAGTTCAAACATAACAAGCTCAAATTTGTATGTATGATACTTAAACCAAACCACTCCCTGTTAAACTCGACTAACGAGTGTGGGGCAGAAATAATCCTTAGACGCAGCCTTACCTTTACATAATTACAAAGAGGCTGTTTCCTGGATTCAAACCCATGACCTTTCAGTTATGAAATAACAGTTTTATCACTGTTTCGGTTCACCTCTTTTATGATACTTAGGACCCCCCCCAAAAAAAAAAGGGAGAAGAAGAAATATCGAAAGAAAGATGCCATTATGAAAAATATAATAATTAACGGTGTTATCTCGCATATATAGCAAAATACAGACAAGCAGGAACCCACCTACCCAACATAAGTCAATCGCTATACTTTTTACTTGAGATCATGGTCTAAGTGGAAATCTAGGTTTCTTTGAAATATCTAAGCTTCCTTCCATTAAACCACGTCTGCATGTTAAGTTATGAAGTCTTCATTAACCCACCAGTTAAAGATTTATTATAGTTAAATATACGATACGGAAAACTTAGGTATTCTGGGATGTCAAGAGTGTAATCAGAAAATCCCCAGCCCCATCTGCAGCATCTCAAATAAGTACTACTTTATGTTTCAGTCCCAATGTCCCATGCAGAACTGAAACATATAACAAGCTAAAATTTCCATCAGTAAGTCATTCTACTGATGTTTAAAAAATCATGCTACTAAGTTTACCAGATATTTTCTCCCCACTCTCCTTAAAGCGCCTCAATTTTATTACCCATTTGAGAGGAGAGAGTTTCAACCTTGCTTTTTCCAGCATGTAGCCTTCAATTTTATATTAAAGAAAAGGAGGTCTGTAACAAGGTCTAATCAAATCAATAACACTGTCAAATGTCAATCATGATTTGGACGTATCAGGCATTGATGAAGCAGTTAATGCAATTATTTATTATTCTTTTAGATACTTTAACATAGAATACTGTCTTAGAGTAACTCACTTCCCCAGCATTCTCAGCATCTTGTTGTTTCTTTGCGAACTCCTGGTCAAATTTTGGTAGCAGTTGCATAAACTCCTGAGCTGATGCACAAACCTGCGCACAATTATCAAAACATCCATGTCAAGCAAAATGCAACACACAAAACTAAAAACTGCATAATTAATAGATATTGGTTCTTACTCTTAGTGGTTCTGGCACAAGGCTTTCAACAGGAATATTTGACAATTCTAGCTTTAAACCAGATTCCCTTGCAAGAATTATCACCTGTATATCCACAGCAGCTTCAGGATGTTGAATTTAAATGGCCACAATCAAAACAGAATTTTTATGAACCAAAAATTGACATTGTGATCAGCCTACACGTTCCAATTAGTCATCATGACATTACGCAATATACCTACTGCCTAAGCATACGACCTTTATTTATTTCCTCAGTCAAGTCTTTTCTTACGTATATATTTATAATTATATATATGCACTTCTATACATCAGAACATGTGTATGGAGAGAGTAAAATGGTAAAAGGAAGAGTGGCAGAAATATGGGTATAAAAAATCATTAAAGTGGTTAAAGAAAGTAAAACAACAACAATAACCAAGCAATTCGCCACGAGGAAGGGTCAACTACAAAGATAAATCTACACAGTTGGACTATACCAAAAATCTTATTTTTAATAAAACCATTTAGAGTAAGGTCTCTCTTAATGGTTTCCCCTAAAGTAATCTTAGGTCTTCCTCTACCCATTTAATTGGGCTATCTTCCCTAATATGTCCAAACACTTTCAGCACATTTATGTCATCTCCACAATAGGTGCTACTTCAATTTTCTTATGGATATACTCATTTCTAATCTTATGTTTTATATTGTAATCTCCATTTTATTAGTTTACTTAACAAACTTGTGCATGGAACGAGGACTCTGTTGGAATTTTAAGGGCAAAAGACAAGGATGAAAACCAACTCCTGTTGTCTTTATCAATGATACAGATGAAAAAAAACTACTTTGATACTTCTGAAACACACACTTACTGTTTTTCCCATTTTTACATGTACACCTTAATTAATTATACACTTTATTTATCTACCTATACTTTCTATCATTTTACCATATACTCTCTATCTGCATGGAAATTCATGGAAATGCTATATTAATCGTATGTACCAATGCATAAGCTGTATATTATTTACAAAGCAACGAAGTACATATTCAGAAATCTTAAACAAAATTGAAACTCAAGAGATGTCCGCAGCACTAAGGAACTTTATTAACATCTAACAACAAAACTTGGTAAACATGTTCAGTATTGTAAATTGTACCTTTCTAGCAACATCTGTTCCGGACAGATCATCTCTGGGATCTGGCTCAGTATAACCTGCTTCCTTTGCTTCAGCAACTACCTCACTAAAAGCCCGGCCACTTTTGAAGTTATTAAAGATGTAACTCAAAGTCCCACTGCAGAGTCAGAGGCAATACCTTTTGGTGAACACGCAAGATGAATGATTGCCTATAGACATTAATAATCCTTGAAATAATGTTCTAATTTATTTTTCTCTTCAGAATGGGAAAATTGCTAGAGGCTGGACAAATGAGACGAAATGCAAGATCATCATAAAGTCTGAGAATCGAGACTGTCAATCCATAAATTAAGACAACTGAAGAGAAAATAATATGTCAAGGCAAACCTGAAGATGCCTTCAATTTGCAATATTCGGTCTCCAGTTTCAAGGAGACCACGTAAGGTGCTAACAATGGGAAGACCAGCTCCAACAGTAGCTTCATAGAAGTAGTGTGTATAGGATTGCCTTTGAAGAGCCCTTAACCTCAAATACTGGATGTAGAGAGTAAAGGTGTGAGAAAGCCCCAAAACGAGTAGTAACTAAGATTACAAAGTAACCAACCAAAGAAGTAACATATGTACAAGCAGTAGCCGCTGAAGCTTATAGAAGGGAAGCACTTTAAAAATTACAAAAAGTATTATAGAAAAGAAATCTTCAAAGCATTTGTTCAATCAGAAGAGCATGATTCTCGGTCCAATGCCTACTGCTGCTGTTCACTGTTCCAATTTATGTTACAATAAACTTTGATGGTAGATGTTAATAACTACGTAAAACGATGAAATATCACTCAGTGGAACAGTAACCCATTTCCAAAATGCCAAAATTTAATGAAAGATGCACAAGAGAAGATGTCACAGACTGGTTGACATCCACATTTAAGTGTGACAGCTTATAAATCTTTGCTTTTTGTTCTCAAATTAATTAAGTCCTCATTCATCAACATGAGATCCAGTTAGAACACTTGGGCTACTAGCAAATATGATTGCTGCGAAAGGAAACAATGCAATTTAAAGATTATTTTCTTATTAAAAAAATGAGAAGGGGACAGCAGCCATGTATGGAGGATATGGCCTGAATGAAGAATAAAATAGTAAAAGCTGCCTCTCCAAATTTTCTTGTAATCATAATGTAATGAGGTGGTTTTTCATTTCAAATGAAATTACAAACAAGAAATTCTCCTTTCCTTTACATGTTTTGTTCTTTATTTTTTTCTTAAAAAAAAACCCTATGAAAACAAATGAACCTAAATTAATGTCTGGGAATTTCCAGCAGAG